CAGGCCAGAAAAGGAGATGTGAAACCCTGAAACAGCCCTCTGTAGTGGGCTGATTGTGTCCCTCAGAAAGATCTGTCTCTGTGGTGTGCGGTGGCGCACACCTATGATCCCATCAGCCCAGGAGGCTGAGGCAGGAGGATCACGAGTTCAAAGCCAGCCTCTGCAACTTAGCAAGGTCCTAAGCAACTCAGTGAGGTCCTGGCTGGGGATGTGGCTCAGTGGTTAGGGGCTCCTGGATTCGATCCCTGAGGGTGGGCGTGGGGTCTGGAGGTGTAGTTCAGTGGCAGAGCAGCCTGGGTTCTATTCCCAGTAAGAGAAAAATGAATAAATCTGTTCAAGTCCCAATCTTAGGAATTTATGAAGGTGACCTTATTTGGAAGTAGGATCTTTGTAATGCAATCAAGTTCTGATGAGGTCACCGTGGATGAGGGTGGGCCCCAAATCTAATGACTGGTGTCACAGGACCGGGAGAGGACACACATAAAGAGGAAGCACAGAGGCTGGAGGCTTCAAGGAGGCCCCACCCCAGCCTCACAGGGAGCACAGCCCTGGGGACACCTTGATCTGGGGCTCGGATCTCCAAGACTGTGAGCAAAACCCTCGGTTGCTCTGAGCCGCCAGTTTGTGGTATTGTTAGAGCGACCTAAGAGGCCAACGTATCACCCAACTGGGACGTCAGAGAGGGCGCGAGGCCCGAGCGGGGCAGAGGGAGTCTGGCTGAACCCAGTCCTGCCTGGTGGGCGCCCTGCCCACGGGAACACCTGGTCCAGCCTCTCCCAGTGTACAGGGGCCACAAGAATACCCCGCCACCAGGGGCCTGGGACTGAGCCGTTTTCCTGTGTACTAGGCACCCACACTTGCCTCGCTGGTAAAGGCTGTGCCTCATAGCGGGGTTTCTAGAAGACAGACAGAATGGACCCCTCTGCTCAGCAGATGCTAACAGGCAAGGGTAAGGACCAGACTTCACTCTACTTCATCCGAAAAGCTGTAGGGGCTGGGTGTGGAGGCCTGTGACTGTGGAGGCTGAGTCAGGAGGATCCCGAGGAGGCCTCAGTAACTTAGCAAGCCCCTAAGCAACTGAGTGAGACTCCGTCTCAAAACAAAAAATTCCAAAAGGGCTGGGGATGTGGCTCAGTGGTTAAGCACCCCTGGGTCCCATCCCCAGGCACCCCCAACCCCTGCCAAAAGCAAACCAAGCTCTTTGTGCTGTCACATCTTGCTGGAGAGCATGAGTGGCTCACGGTACTTGAGTTCTATATCCCATCTTTACTTTTTTTTTAAAGAGAAAGAGAGAGAATTTTTTAATATTTATATTTTTTAGTTTTCGGCAGACACAACATCTCTGTTTGTATGTGGTGCTGAGGATCGAACCCGGGCCGCACGCATGCCAGGCGAGCGGCTACCGCTTGAGCCACATCCCCAGTCCTACATTTTTTTTTTTTTTTTTTTTTTTTTTAATATTTATTTATTTTTTTTTAGTTTTCAGCGGACACAACATCTTTGTTTGTATGTGGTGCTGAGGATCGAACCCGGGCCGCACGCACGCCAGGCGAGTGCGCTACCGCTTGAGCCACATCCCCAGTCCTACATTTTTTTTAATGAGAAAATAAATTCCCGTAACATTATGAAATGAAAAAGTCGAAATCAGAGAGGAGTCGGGGCACCCCAGATCCCAGCCTGCTAGAATCCCCCATCCCAGCTCAGGGGACACCATGAGTCACCTCTAGGTCACTCATGGGGCCCAGCTGCGCCCAGAGGTGGCCCTGGCCCCAGACCTGCCTGCCTGGACACTCACACAGAGGCTGGCTTTACAGCCGTTTGTTTCCTGGACTCGGTTTTACAGAAAATCCAGGGGAGGGTCTAATGGCCCGGCCAGACCCCGCAGCTCCCTGCCGGCCTCTCCCCCAGCCACAGCCCCAGGCCACTGCCCAGACACAGGGCGACTTCCACCAGAGAGCCAGCCAGAGGAGTGGGCGGCGGAGTGAGCCGCTCGCCCGAGCTGGGCCACCGTCCCTGGTGACGGCTGAAGCATCCACCTGGCCTCTGAGGGCCTCTGGCAAGGTGTGGGTGAGGAGAGGGACCAGGAGCCTCCGCGGGGAGAATCTGCCAGGGCACCTGACCAAGTGGTCCGGGTGACATCAGCAGATGGACCACCGGCCCCCTGGGGACCCCTGCCCTGCGAGAGACACCCCTGCCTCTGCGGTCTGCCAGACCTGCGCTGTCAAATTGAATTGTGAGGAAACAGGAAACAGCAGGAAAGCCCAGACCAAGGGACCATCTTGCGACAGCTGGCCTGGACCCTTCACAAGTGTCAAAACATGAAGGACAAAGACAGGCCAGGCTGGGGGCTGCCCAAGAGACAGGACAGGGAATGCTCCTGGGACCTGGGTCCAAGCCCTCTCCATCCCCAGCTCCCCTGCGAAGGACACCCCAGGACAGTGGGGAAATCTGTCCTCAATACGACACCCTGGTGTGGAGAGGGGACCCGGGTCATCAAAAAGAATCTTCCTCTTCTTCTTCTTTTTTAAATTTCTAAACATTCTTGTCCCTAGGAAATATATGCAAAAATATTCAGCAATAAGGGCCGGGGTGCAGCCTTGAGGCCCCCCAGGCCGCATCCTCCGTATGAGTGTGTGTGTGAGTGTGTGTGAGTGTGAACGGAGAAGACAGGGACACTAAACTCCCACACACTGGGCAGTGTGAACGTAGAAGCCGGCTCCGTGTGTTTTCCATGCAACTTTGGGCAGGTTGAAATTATTTTAAAATAAAACATTTAAACAATCTAAAAATAAGTCTCCCTGGACTCCAGTCCTTGTCCCTTTTCATCTCAGTTCCACCTCTTACAACCCCGGAACCCACCTTTAATAGTATGTCCCCTTAAATTTCCAGAGTTCAATGCAAATACAAACAAGGGTGACGGTGACACACCGGGCTCCCACCTCTCCTGCTGCAAGAGGGAGCTGCAGGCTCTTTGCACCTGGCCATGTGGCTCAGTGGGGCACTTCCCCGGCCACCTCATGATACCACCCCTCCCCCCCATCCCCAAAACAGCTCTTCCAGGGCTCCCAGGAGCCAGCTCTGAGCTGGGTGAGCTCGACTCCAGTCTCATCCCCAAGGCCACCCCGGGGCCAGGGCCAGGCCACTGCCACCTGTCACCCCTCCCCCTCCCCTTCTCACTGTGCCCAGCTTCTGTCCCTTTTCTCCCCATCCCAAACTCTGCTCCCCAGCAGCCAGGAGACCCCTTGTAAAGCTGCTTCCACTTCCCCGCCCCCACCCCTGGCTGAGACAAAACTCCCACCGCCCCCCTGCTCCGTCTCCCCCCCCAGCCACCCAGCCTTGCTCCCTCCAGCCCCAGAGCATCCCCAGGTCTTCCCAGCGGTCCCAGCTCCGGAGACAGCCTCATCCCCAGCCCCACCCACCACCAATCCTCCAGCCTCAGCCTCTCCTGGCCCCTGGCACCGTGTGGCAAAGCAGCTTGTTTTGAATCACTTGTTTGTTTTCCGTCTCCCCAACTGGAACTCAGGTTCCGTGAGCACGGGGACTGTGCGGCTGTTCACGGCTGTCACCCCAGGACAGAATGACCGCCTCTTTATGGTCTCCAGGGGGCAGGTTGCTCTCACCCTGTTGTGTGGAGGCAAAACTGTGGCCCCAGGAAGGGGGGAGCCTGGCCTGTCACGGGCACCCTGGGAACTGGGACAAGAGCCAGCCTCTCCTGACTCCCAGACCGATGCGTTTCCAGGCCTGGAGGGCTGTGGCCTCCTTTCCCAGAGGCCCGTCCCTTGGACACTGTGAAGTTGTTCACTTGCCGGTCTCAGCACCTACTGTGGGTGGACACAGTGACTCACAGGGACCCACAGGGACTGGGACACAGTAGGCCTTCAGCCAACTGATACCCAGCCCCCACCCCACCCCAGCTTCCCCTGGGGGGGGGGGCGGCACAATTTGGCGATTGTTAGAGGACTTTTTTTTCCTTTGGGGAGGAAGGCTGCAAGTCATTAAGGCCGCTGGGCCCGCGGGTCACCGTTTCCTGTTTAGAAGAAAGAACCATCTCTCCTTCCACACCAGCCCCCAGCCTGACTCCAGGCCGAGAAGCCCCGGGAGCCTGCTCAGCAGCCGGCAGGAAGCTGGCACCTTCAGCACCTTTTGTGCTCAAAAGGGACACTCATTTTCTCCTGGCCCCAGGAGGCCCCCAGAGGTGAAGTCACCACTGCCAGCCAGCCAGCCAGGAGTGAATTGCCCCCGCCCAGGCCACAGCCCAGGTCCTCCCATGCTCTAGGCAGGAAGCTGAATGACCCCTACCCTTTGGCCTGGCTTCTCACCCTCCTGGCTCCCGCCAGCCAATTTCCTTGCATCAAAGGCCATTTGGTACCCAGCAGCCAGACAGAGGTGTGGGCGGCCTGACAGGGAGGCCCAGCAGGGCCCAGAGCCCTTGGGAACAGGAAGGACATCCTCTTCTCCAGCTGAGAGGGGCGCCAATCCTGCCCCAAAGACCTTCCCTGGCCTGAGCGGGTGAAGACCCAGGAAGCCCCCCTCGCACCCTCTGGGCCTGCTCAGCTTCAAAATGCAAAAGCAAGGGCTGGGGATGTGGCTCAAGCGGTAGCGCGCTCGCCTGGCATGCGTGCGGCCCGGGTTCGATCCTCAGCACCACATACAAACAAAGATGTTGTGTCCGCCGAAAACTAAAATAAATATTAAAAAATTCAAAACAAAAACAAAAACAAAATGCAAAAGCCAGAGGAGGGATCAGAGGCGCTAGGAGTGCAGGGGCTTGCTGGCAGCCAAGGGTCTCCGAGCCACAGGAGGCCCGAGTCTCATCTGCACAAGTTCCCGGACAGTGCAACTCTCCAGCACATGCCATTTCCAAGGACAAGATTTAAGGCTGTGTCAGAAATACCAAAGCTCCAGGAATCCCTGCCCTCTTCCTTTCCTGAAGACCTCTGAAAATGCCCATACCCGCAAGACCAAGTAGAGCCTCTGTAATATATAAATTAATGCCTTTATTGAATATCAATAAGCTGTATATATAACTATACAAAATGTTTCCTTAATACAAAATGTCACTTGCAATATACACACCAGTGTACCTTTAAAAATGTAAACATCGTCCTTGTAGGCCTGCCTGTCAGGGCCCCGGAACATTCTGGGAGACAAACTGGTCAGGCCGAAGCACCCTACTCAGCCCAACAGGCAAGGCCATTACTCACAGTCCCTTTTGAGACATTGTTAAATTGCCCGTGAAGCAGGTGTCACCAGGACAAACAGGAGGCTAAATAGCTGCCCAGGGCCAGGGGCATCTCGAGTGTCCTCCGGTCCATCCTTGTGTTCGAAGCTGCCCTCCAGTGCCCCACAGATGTGCGTGGGGGCGGGATTGTTGCATAGTCAGTCACACCTCTGGAAGGTGGTGGAGGGATCCTTGTGGGGAGCACAGGGAGGGGAGCAGTCTCCTAAGTGGGGTGGGGGAGCTCCATCTGTCCGCTCTGTCCTGTTGCTCAGCAGCTGAATCCACACAGCTCTGGAGACACGAGCCCAGAGGCCAACTGGGGAAGGCCCAGGAAGCAGCTCCAAGGCCATCTTCGGTCCACTGTCCACAGGAAGGCCCGGAGAGGCCTCCTTCAAAGCCCATGAGGCCCCCGGGGCGCAACACCAGTCAGCAGCCTGCAAAGTCCACGGGGGCATCGCAGCCAGGCATCGGCGGCTTCCGTGGCGGGACGACGGATGGGGCGCCTTCCTCCTGGATGGGGGAGGCAGCTGGGGCGGTGGCAGGCTCAGCGGGGGCCACCCGAGCAGCCCGACTCCTGGTGCTTGTGCAGCAGGGACATGCGGGAGAAGGTGCGGGCGCACCTCGGGCACTGGTACTTCTTCACGTCTGAGTGGGTCTGCAGGTGGGCGCGCAGGTTGGAGCGGTCAGCGAAGGCCCGGCTGCAGTGGGGGCAGGAGAAGGGCTTCTCACCTGGGGGAGACAGAGGGAGTCACGCTGGGCGGCCGGGCCTTTCCTGAAGGGCCCACCCCACACCACCCTGAAAGGGTCCTGGCCGCCCGCAGATTGGGCCCAGAGGCCTGCAGGGAGACGGTGGCTTTCCTGAGGGACCCGGAGCAGGATTCTGGCTGCTCTGAGCCTCCTCTCATCTGTAAAATGGGGCTCGCTCCCACTCACGGGGTTGGTAACCCAGAGAAGCAGGACGACCACGTGCTCTTCCCATCGCCAGGGACCTGGGAAACGCTCAACAGATCAAGACTCAACACTTTGATCCTTCTGTGGTCCTCATATTAAAGCTGGTGCAACTGAGGCCCAAAAGTTAAGGAGCATTTTTGGGGTCACCCTGCAGGGCTCCCAAGCCCTGGATTTTGACCAATGCACATACTGCTCTTGGTCAGGAGAAGCTTTTTACTAATCCTGGAGTCAAAACTTAATCTATACTGGGGACAAAGCTTAAGAGCTGGCCTAAGACTACTCGGGAGGCTGAGGCAGGAGAACCACAAGTCTGAAGGCAGCCTGGACAACTTAACGACACCCCGTCTCAAAGTGAACTAAAAAAAGCTCAGGGGTAGAGCATCCCCGGGTTCAGTTCCCAATCCCACGTGTGCATACACACTCATCCACATGTGCACACACACTCACACTCGTGCACACGGAAAGAAGAGAGAGAAGCAGCAGCTTAGGAGGCTTACCTCAGCGCTGCGGTCTAACCCTTCTGTGCTTTGCCAATGAGCTACATCCTCAGCCCTTGTTTATTTATTTTGAGACCCTTTTAGCTAAATTGCTGAGGCTGGCCTTGAACTTGTGATGTTCCTGTCTCTTGCTGGGATCACAGGCATGAGCCACTGAGCCCACTTCCCTCATCACAATGCTACTGGACTATCGCCCCGCATCAGATTGAGTCGCAGAGGGCAGAGGCCTCCCTTGAGTGCATTCCCAGATGAGGCTACAGAAACCCGCAGCCCAGACACTCCACCTCCCTGGCCAAAGATGTGGTAGGAAGTCTTGCACAGGAGGCGATACCCCTCAGGATTAAGTAGGTGCTCAATAAATGCATGTAGAATAAATAAACCTGCTTTTAATAAAAGGAATCAAAGAAGCTTGACCCCTCAATCACCAGATAATGCCTTTTCACAATCCCTGCCCCACCAAGAGGATATAGTTTCCAAAACAGTGACATTTTGTTTTTCCTTAGGCATATAGCTTTTCCAAATAAAAAGTCCTAAGGCTAATTCATTAAACAAAAAAGAACGGGATTCTCTAGCTCCCAGCCCCAGCCTGATATGCCCACAGGCCATGACCTATCAAATTCCAATGATGGCATTCAAGAAAAACTGAGAGTGTATGAATCCCGTCACCTACTGAGTGCTCTGCTGGGTCCTTGCTGGGAGGGGAGGGCGGCCAGGACAGGTTCCAGGGGCCCCACCCACTCAACAGGTTGCCACAGCTAAGAGCAGGCTCCGCCCCACAGGACGGCACAAGGGAAGGGGAGGAGAGAACTCGAGATGGGGGCTGCACCCGCCATGGCCACTACTGAAGTAGCCCTGGGGCCGCCCGAAGGGTCTGATGGTGGCCTTCTCCCAGGTCCCAGTGAAGCTCTTCCTCATTCACACCCTGAGAACTAGAAGAGGACCAGGGGGACGAGAAGGTGACGGAGCCCATCAGTGAGCTGGGGACCAGGACCCCATCCCCCAGTTAGTGCTCAACCAAGGAGGAAGGGATCTTTTAGGGTGTGAGGGGGTGTGGCGGGGTCCGTGTGCACCACAGGACCCCCTCAGACACCACCCCCCACCCCCGCCCGTCTCCAGACGCCTTTATGGCGCTCCGGCAAGTGTGAAATCGGCACCAGGCTGGCGGGGACAAAGGCTGCTGAGGGGGGCACTGTACATGCGATACCCCCGGGATTAAGGGGGCCTGCCACACCACGGGCCAGCAGCTGCGGCGGGAACAGGTGCTGGGCACCACTGCCCCGTGCACCTGCTCCGCCCCTCCCACCCACCCACTGGGCCCACCATGGAGGCACACAATGGGGTCCTCCAGGACAGCGAGGTGCATTTCAACGGCCTTTTGTGTCTGAGCCAGGCCTTTACATTAAAATGTCCGGTGGGACAGGGGGGCTGGAGGCTCCCGGAGAGCATCCTGAGGGCCTCAACACCCCCAAAATAGCGCCCCCATTAGCTAGGCAGGCACCAGGAGAAAAGGCAGCAGTTGAACCTTTACATGTTAAAATCAGGACAATTGGTGCACAGAGAGAAACAGTCGCTAAGGAGCCCTGCAAAGGGACAGGCTCCCCCAGACCACCCCCCCACACACACCCTCACTGTTGAAGGTCAGCCACCAGGACAGGAAATGACAGAGCTCAGCCTCCAACCTGGCCAGCTTGATCCCAATGCTCTCATGACCTTTGAACTTCCTCTCAAGTTACCCTCCAAGGATCACCCCCAAACACATCAACCTCCACCATTCAAGATCTGAAAAGGAAGGGTGCCTGCCCTTTCCTCGTTTCTGGGAAGTTTTCCATGTTGAAGTATTGTGTTTTTTGCGGCACTGAGGACCAAATCCCAGGAACTCATGCAGGCTACTGCCACTGAACTATGTACCAGCTGTTTTTTATTTTTAATCATGGCCTCACCAAGTTGATTAGGCTGGCCTTAAAACTTATGATCCTCCTGCCTCAGCCTCCCAAGCAGCTGGGATTAAGGTGTCTGCCACCACGCCCAGCAGTCTGTATTCTGTATTGTTTTTTTTTTTTTTGAAGGGATTGTGTTTTTTATCAGCAAAGTTGTTCCCTGATCTGCATGGTGGAATTGACTCAGGGTGAGGAAAACAGACCTAAGAACCATAATTATAAACCATTATTATAAAGTGATTAGCAATCTTAATAGCTACCCTACAAAGCATGTGCTATCATAATCCTAAGGCTCAGAGAGGTTAAATTGCTTAACTAAGGTCACACAGCATAGAAGCAAAGCAAATACCAACTACCATTTTTCTGAGAGCTTATCATGCACCAAGCGCTTTGCTCTTTCCACAGGCATTCTTTCATTTAACCTATACAGATACCCCACAAGGTAAAATGGGTATACTCATGCCCATTTTAGAGATGAGAAAACTAAGGATCAGAGAGGTGAAACATCATGGAAAGTTTGAGGAAGTTCTCAGACAGGATTTAGGGTAGTGGTGGGGGGTACTGACAACGTCCTGTCTGACTGGGGCAGGGTGGTTTGTGGGAGGAGCAGGGTGGGTCCCTTCACACCTGGCCATAATAGCAAGGTGTTGGGTGCATTTTTCCCATATCCAGCTCCAAAATATTTAGCTAAGAAACTGCAGAAGAACCTGCCCATCAGCTTAGCTGATGAATGCTTCTGCCAAACATTTCCAAAGGGCCAGGTCCCTGAACTTGAACTAAGTTAGAGCCTTAGTTTCCTTGATGTCAAATTAAAAAAAAAAAAAAAAAAAGAATTAAAACGAAAAGGAGAACAGCAGCTCAGAATCACAAAAGCCGATCAGAAGGCGTGGACTTGAGAGGGGCAGTAACCTGCAGGGCTACTTACCAGTGTGGGTCCGGACATGGCCCTGCAGCAGCCAGGGCCTGGAGAAGGCCTTCCCACAGGTTGCACAGACACAGGGGAGAGTGTGACTCCGAATGTGCATCTTGAGGGCGCCCAGGCTGAGGTATTCCTTGTTGCAGTACTTGCAGTTGAAAGCCTTGCGAGACTGGGGGTCCTTGGCCACGGAGAGCAGAGCCAGTTGCTTGGGCAGTTGGCCCAAGCCTGGGAAGGCAATGTAGGCCTCAGCCTCCAGGGAAGAAGCGGAGGTGGAAGAGAAGGAGGAAGGAGCTGGAGAGGGTGGGCTGGGGGGCTGCGAGCCCTTCCCACTGTCCTCATCAGACAGGGAGGTCAGCTCTGCTGCCTGGGGGTTCTCCTGGGGCTGCAGGGAGGCCCAGCTAATGGGCTGCGTGTGCGGCGCTAGGAGACAGTCCCAGATGAGGGTGGGCAGCGAGGCGGTGGGGTTGAGGACCTCAGGAGGCGGGATGGCAGCCAGCAGGTGGGCCTGGTCGTAGGGCTGCTGGAAGGTGAGCTCTGAGGAAGACAGAGAGGGACAGGGTCAGGCATCAATGAAACTTTCAATCTGTCAACAAACATCAGCCCACTGAGGGCCACAACTAAGGACAGAGGCCGTTCCTGCCCTCCCACGCCCTTGCTCACCCAGGACACCACACCTGTGTCTCCTATAAGACAGACCCCCGACTTCCCAGCCCAGCTCGAGGGGGCCATTCCCAGGCCTCCCATTTCCTGTGTCCCCCAGGTCCCCAGCCCAAAGTAAGACCCCCAGGCCTGGTCTCAGCCCAGCTACCTGCAGATCCCCCTTCTACACCTCTCTTTCCACCCCTCCCCCAACCCTCTGGACTCCGGACTCTTCATAGTCACTGGCCAGAGGACTCTCCTGGCACAGCCTTCTCTCCTGTCTACACTCGCGGAGCTTCTCTGCCTCTCGCCCCCCACGAAGTCTCCAGTGCCCACAGCACAGCCCTCCACCCAACCGCCAAGATCCGAGGCTCCAGATCCACCTGCCCCACATCTCCGGAGCCCTGGCCTTTCTCCACAGGACATCCCTTGACTCGGTGTGGTCCCAGGACCTCTCCCTCAGAGGCCCCCCACGCCTGCGTCTCCCGAATCCCTCTCCGGGTCCAGCATTTCTGCTCACCGGGAGAAGAGTCTTGCAGCTCGCTGTAATTGGGCTTCCGGCGAGGGACCGAGGGCTTCCTGACGAGGAAAGAGCGCGGCATGGTGGCTGAAGCAGCCGGGGTCGCCGGGTCGCGCAGGGGCCGCAGGGAACACCACCCGCGAGGCCGTGCAGCGGCGCTGTGAGTGAAGAAGCCCGCTGCCTCTTTAAATACCCCAGCCTCGGGGCGGGGCCACTAGCGCCACGCCCCTTTGTCAACGCCGCACCAATCGGAGGCGCGCGTCCACCAAAGGCCACGCCCCAAGCAGGTGCTCGGGGGACCCGCTGGGTTCGCGCCGCGTGGCGCTGGGAGCCCGGCTCCGGGCTGGTTCCACTCCTCCGAGGCAGGCTGTCGGGGCGGGACGCCCGGTGCTCGCCGACTCAGCGCCCCGCGTGTGAGCGCCTCTGGTGCCTGGGACCCCAATACCCGACCTTCCGAACCTGCCCGCGCCCCGGGCTCTGGAAGCGGGCGGAGAGGTCCTCCTCCTGCCGGCACCTCGCAAACAGCGTGGCGTAGACGAGAGACAGTGCACACTGCTGGGGCGGATGCGAGGAAACCGGCCCTCGCCGTGGCTGCTGGCAACGTGAAGGGCCACCGGCTTTTTGCAAAGCAGTCTGGCATCGTGTGGCCAAAATGCGCTCGTCCCTGCACTTCGCCCTCTAGGAGCCAGGCACTGTCCCTGGAGTCCGCTGCGGCTGCACCAGGGTCTCTCCCCAAGGGGAGCTCCTCGGTCGGTCGGCGGGGGAGACAGACGAAGTAAACAGAGGATTATAACGCAAAGGGAGGTGGGCTAGATGGAGGGGGGCTGGGGGAGAGACAGGACGCTGTGACAGTCTAGAGGCTGGTCACCTGACGGGGTGGAGGCGCCCGACTTTCCAGAGGAAGTGAAGAAATTTGGAGGGGGAAGGCCCGAGGTAAGAATCAGTAACTACTGCAGAGCCACTGAGCGCTGCTCCCGGGGGTGGGAGGAATCAGATTTGCCCGCCTCCAGGGCTTCGCAGTAGTTTGGACTTTGCCTCAAGGGCACTGGGGAGCCAAGGAAGGATTTGCAGCGGAGGAGGGACCTGTTTAGAGTTTCATTGGGAAAGATGGCCATGGGCAAGCCGAGAGACAGCAGCAAGCCTAGGGCAGAGGCAAGTCCCTTCACCTGAGAATCAGAGGCCCCGTGTCTGAAGGATCCAAGACAGCTCCACAGAGGACACTGTCTGATTGGCATGTGGGATGGGCCCAGGTGAGGGAGAGCTGTACTTGGGTTCCAGCTCCCCTGTGAGGTGTGTCAGGCCCTGGGGTGGCCACAGAAACAAATCCCAAGGCCCATGGTACTGGTTTTCCCTTGGAAGGCAGAATCATGACAACCTCTAAGTCTTCCCCACACCAACAAGAAGACAGGCAGGACAAGTGTCACTAGGTGCTGGGATAGCAACTGAGAAGAAATCATCCTCCCTCCTCTGACTGGTGAGGGATGCAGAACACATCGCCCTCCACAGCCCTTCAGTTCCACAGGAGTCTCCACTTGGAGCCAGAGGGAGCAGCAGACTGCCCCCACCACCACAACCCTCACTCAGAGGAAAAGCCCAGATCCTTGCCATGACAGCTCGGTCCTGCTGATCCAATCCCTGCTCACCTTCTCTTCAGCTCTCTTCCTCCCCCATGCAACAATGATTTCACCCAACCTCCTTCTGTTCCTCCCATATCCCAGCCCTTTCCCACCACAGGACCTTGGCACCTGCTGTTCAACCTCCCTTCTCACCAAATCTCTCTCCCATAGATCTTCACCTGGCTACCTTTTCTTTCATTCTTTGTTCCAGCAGCAATTTCACTAAGCAGTCACCCTCATTAGTAATGAGAGAAATGCAAATGGAAACCACAGTGAGATGTCATTTCACACTCACCAGAAGGACAAAAAGCAAAAATTTGGTCAATATCAAGTGTTGATGAGGATGTGAGGGCTAGCCAGAGTGTCAATGGGCACAACTACTTGGGAAAAGTTTGACCTCAGTAACAGGTGACTCCTCTCCCAGCAACGGGGGCCTCCCAGGGGTTCTCAGCCCTGGCTGGTGCACAGTAGATTTCCCTACAGAGTGTTTAAAAATACTTAAGCCTGGGCCCCACCCCACCCCACCCCCACATCCTGATTTGATTATCTGGGGGTGGGGCTTCTGGCATGAGCATTTTGAAACATCTCCCTGATTCTTCTAAAGAGCAGCCAAAGTTAAGAACTGCTGCCCAGCCCCAAACCAGACCAAACAAGAGAAGGGTCATTGTACCCTTGGTCCTATTTTAAAAGAAAAGAAATGGATACCACCCAAATGTTTATCAACAGAAGAGTGGATTAAGAAAACTGGAAGGGGCTGGGTTTGTGGCTCAGTGGTGGAGCGCTTGCCTAGCCTGTGTGAGGCACTGGATTTGAGTCTCAGCACCACCTATAATAAATAATAAAGGTCCATCAACATCTAAAAATATGTGTATAAAAAAAAACTGTAATGCAATCCTACAAAAGAATTCTACCCATAAAGATGAATTACACGTGAACTACAACTCCATGCAACAACAGAGATGAATCTCAAAAACATAATGTTGAACAAAAGAAGTTAGAAACCAATGCATCACAGATGGCTGGATTTACATGTGGGCCAAATGCCGGCACACTCACCCCCGAATTATTTAGGGATCCACACATACACAGGCAGTGCAACTATAAAGAAAAGCAGAGATCTGGAGCTGAGGAAGGAAGATACTAGTTCAAAGCTAGCCTCAGAAATTTAACAAGGCCCTAAGCAACTCTGTCTCAAACTAAAAAAGCAAACTAGGAAATGTTTAATACAAAATTCTGAATGGGGTTAGGCTGGGAAAGGAGGAGCTAAAAAGAGGTTGCACGGGAGGTTTAGAATTCTGGTGATGTTCTCTTTTCCAATCAGGGAAGCATCTTTATTATTAGTGTCTCTCTCTTTCTTTTTGGAAGTTCTGGAGACTGAACCCAGGGGCCTGTACACAGGAGGCGGGTGCTTTATCACTGAGCCACACCCCTAGCCTATTATTAATCTTTAAACTGTACACAGATCATCCAACCCCGTTAGGTGTGAATGATATAACTTAGGACACATGAGCACACACACTTAATATGTGCGAGGCCCTGGGTTTGAGTTCCAAAGAAGAAAGAAGGGAGGGAGGGAGGGAGAGAGTGAAGAGCGGGAGGAGAGTTAGTTACTAAGTCACCTCCTTCAGGGAGTTTCGCTAAAGCAAGACCCCACCCCACCTCAGCACCCAGTTTCTACCCAATTATCCTATTCTGTTATCTTCAAAGCAGGTAGCAGGTAGCGGAGCCTCAATCAGGTGTTTGTTGAATGATTTCAAACCCCACCTTTTCCTAGCTGGGTCACAAAGTGGCTCCCATCACGTGAGGATTTGGGGAAGGGTAAACCAGCCACGGGCCCCCACAAGCTCCAAGCACCCACTGCCTCGTTTTCCATTTTCCCCCAAGGGTTCCAGCACCTGCGCTGGGGAGGGAGGGCGTGGGGACCCGGGCGGATCAGGAGGCGGAGCAGCACCCTCCTGGGCTCAGCACAGGTCGGAGGGACTCCACCCCGTGACCCCCGCCCTCCCGGGGGCGGGGCCAGCTCCCCGAGCGGCGGGTCTGCGCGAGGGCGAGGGCGTGGCCCTTCTTGCAGGGGAAGCCGAAGTGACTTTTTTTGTTTTTATTTTTATTTCTTTGTTTGTTTATTTACCAGGAATTGAGGCCCTGAGCCACATGCCCAGCCCTTTATTTTATTTTGGGAGAGGGTCTCGCGGAGTTGCTCCTGCCCCAGGTCTGCCCCACTGTCCTGGTCGCGGACCTCTGGCGTCCTCTGCTGGCCGAAGCGCCTCCCGGGGACCTTTCATGGGGGTGAAAATCAATCAGTTGTTTTGGAGAGGGGTCCCGGACTATTTTATGTGACCAGACAAGGCTCTGGAAGGAAGATAAATCTGAACAGACATTTGCATTTTCTTTCCCTCTCCCTCCTTTTCTTTCCTGCTTTCCTACCAGGGATTAAACCCAGGGACACTTAACCATTAAGCCACACCCCAGGCCTTTTTATTTTTTGAGATAGGGTCTCGCCAAATTGCTTATGGCCTCGCTAAGTTTGAGGCTGGCCTTTTTGTTGTTGTTGTTTTAAATTTTTCGTTGTAGAGGGACACAATACCTTTATTTATTTATATGTGGCGCTGAGGCTCGGACCCAGTGCCTCGCACATGCTAGGCAAGCACTCGGCTACTGAGCAATAACCCCAGCCCATTGAGGCTGGCTTTGAACTTGCTATCCTCCTACCTCAGCCTCTGGAGCTGCTGGGCTTGGGCCACCACACCTGCGACATCTGCATTTTCTACAGATGCCAATCCACCATGAAAAGCAAAACTGAAAATGTGACTTACAATCAACAACCAAAGAAAAACCTTCAGTACTATTTTTCCCAGTGTCTTTTTTTTTTTTTTTTTTGAGGGGGGGTACCAAGGATTGAACCCAGGAGGCTTTACCATTGAGTTACATCCACAGCCCTTTTTATTTTATTTTGGTACTGTAGATTGAACCCAGGGACACTTAACCACTAAGCTACATCTGTAGACATTTTTATTTTTTATTTTGAGTCCAGGGTCTCACTAAATTGCTTTGGGCTTCACTAAGTTGCTGAGGCTGGCTTTGAACTTGCTGATCCTCCTGCCTCAGACTCCTGAATGGCTGGTATCACAAGCATTGGCGCTGCATCCTTTTTAGAGCATGGATTATGCCAGAACCACACAACTATCCCACAAAGGGACTCGTGATGGGCATTTAGGTTAGATTACAATTTTCTTTTGATACTACAAATAACATGGAATTTTCAATAAATGGCTTATACACATATTTTTGCACTCCAGGTCTAAATGTCTTCCAAAAAGGTTAAACTAAATTATATTTCAAGCAGGAATTGAGGGCTCCTTTTCAAAATAGCTGACACAGACTATTGTCTTTTTCTATTATTATTATTATTATTATTATTATTATTATTATTATTATTATTTTTGTACTAGGGATTGAACCCGGGGATGCCTTATCTCTGAACTATAGTCCCTTTTTTATTTTTTATTTTGAGACAGGATCTCACTAAATTGCTTAGGGCCCACTAATTTGCTGAGGCTGGACTCAGACGTCATCCTGGCCCTCATCCTCCCGATTTGCTGGGATTACAGGCCTGCGCCACCACGCCTAGCTGTCTAATTTTTTTTTTTTTTTTTATCTTTGCCTGTCTGAGAAGGGAACCTGGGTCTTCTAGCGGAGATTTGCATTTCATGTGAGCAGTGTTTTGCGGGGAGGCACCAGGGACTGAAGTCAGGGGCACTCAACCACTGAGCCACGTCCCCAGCCCTATTTTGTATTTTATTTAGAGACAGGGTCTCCCTGAGTTGCTTGGGCCTCACTCTTGCTGGGGCTGGCTTTGAACTTCCAGTCTCAGCCTCCCGAGCTGCCTGGCAGGCGCCATCTTTTTTACATACTCTGAATCAGTTTCAGTTTCTCGGTGTTTTGAACCACTTTTCAAGTCCTTTTGATCACCAAGTCGATGAATTTCTCATTTCTAAAAGCTCTTTATCAGGTGAGCTGGTCTCTGTTGATTAGATCATTAATCAGTGAAGGGATCAATCAAGAGTTGGCGAGTTAATGGTGACTGGAAGGAAGATATCGCCCAGGGAAAGTTCCTGTGTGTCAGGGCTCCACTTGCCCTTCATCCCTGATTTAAACAACAAAGCCTCACCCAGGGTCTCTCATTTGTCTGAAAACAGAGTCAGCCTTGGGCCTTGCCCAGTAAATCAAACTCCCAGGGAAGTTTCTGGGTCAGGATTCAAGTCCTGGGCGTGGCCCAGAGCTGGCTCTCAGGAAGACATAGGAGCCATTCTCCTTCCATTTGCAGAGGACTTGAAATGTGTGAGGTTCATTTGCACAGGTGTCCCCACAGCATCCCAGAGTGGCCCACATAAGGACCAGTTAATATAGCACAGGGCGGCCATATTGCCCATTTGTCAAAAAAGAGGAGAAAGGGGGCTGGGCTGGGGCTCGATGGTGGAGCGCTCCCCTGGCAAGTGTGAGGCACTGGGTTCCATCCTCAGCACCACATAAAAATAAGTAAAAAGGTATTGTATCCATCTAGGAAAAAAGAAAAAAACCCTGGGTCTAATCCCTTCGACTGAACAAATTAGAAATTTTCAAATATATATATTCAAAAAAAAAAAAAGGAGAAAGCTCGGGGGTCACCTTGGAAAACGGAAGTTCCCCAGGGCCTGGAGGGTGGATGTGTGTGGGTGGGCGGAGCACAAAGCCGGGCTCTCTGCACCTGCAAGATACACCTGCCACCCTGCTCACACCTGGGAGGGGCCGGCTGAGCTCAGGCTGAGCAACCCTTGGAATCTCAGGTAGAGCACACCTTCCCCAGGTGGTCCCCAGGTGGTCCCCAGGTGGTCCCCTGGCAGCTGCATGGTGGCGGGTTGCTGGGTGTGCCCCCGGCCTCTCAGACCACTTGCTTCCAGCTTCAGCCAGGGTTGGTAGAGCTGTTCCTCTGCCTGCCTGGCAGGAGGCTAAAAGTACCCGCTGGGTCTCCTCCCCTCTGTCATGGATGGCCGCCTTGCTCACTTCTAGAGAGCTCTGAACCACAGAGGATGAGCACTACTGCCAAGGAGGGGATGTGGAGATGCAGGCACATGCTTAGGACGCTCAAGGTCCCCGGTTTAAGCCTCAGTGAACACAAAAAAAGCCAACAAAAGCCAGGGATGGTGGCGCACACCTCTAATCCCAGCCACTAGGGAGGCTGAAGCAGGAGGATTGCAAATTGGAGGCCAGTTTTAGCAAGACATTGTCTCAAAATAAAAAATAAAAAGGGCTGGGGAGATAGCTCAGTGGTCCAGCACCCCTGGGTCCAATTCCTTTCAACTGAAAAAAATTAGAAATGTTCAAATGGAAAATTGTGGTCTCTTTTTCACTTTTTTTTTTCCATGTGGGGCCGGGGATAAAACCCAGAACCTCACATACGCTAGGCAAGCGCTCTACCACTGAGCCCCAGCCCATGTTTTTCACATTTTTTAAAAAATATATTAACACTTACCACATGTGTACAAATGATGGCAGAGCACGGATCCCAGGTACAGCCTAGTCCAACCACTACAGTCCTGAGCCCAGAGAAGCCCCTTTGCCCTTACACCTACCAGGTGAGGGTCACCTCAGCAGCCCTCCGGGCAGGCAGGCAGACAGGCACGTGCACACCTCCCAAGAGCAGCCCCTCTCCTGACTTCAACTGGCTTTTCTCACTTATCTTGAGATAGTGTTGCAGATAAAATAAGATGCCCAGTAAAATCTAATTTCAGATAAACAACAAAGGTTTTTAGCATAAGACTGCACAGAACATACACAGCTCTCTGAAATTTAAATTTAACTGGGCCTCCAGGTTTCTTTGCTAAATCTGGTGGCCTTGCTTGGAAATTGATTCCTATCAGCATTTAGAGCACAATCTAGAACCAGTCCCCTGTTGATGGGCAGTTAGCTTATTTCTCATCTTTTGCTTTTCAGAACAATACTCTGACCTCATCTACAATTTATCTGTAGGGTGTGTTCCTAAAACTTGCTTTTGTCCTGCCTGCATTCCTGAGGGATGCAGTTGGCAACCCCAGGCCCCTTCGGTCTCCCGGGAGAGCAGCACCCTCCCTTCCCCACCTTCCCACCTTGCTATCTCCTCTCTCTCCACCTCTGTCTCTCTCTCTCTCACTGTCCCTCCTTAGGTGTGTCCCTGTCTTTCTATCTCCCCAGACTCTCCCAGTCTCTCTCTCTCACCCTTCCTCTTTTTGACCCAGCAGCTCTACATACAAAATAGCCAGTCAAGCTGGCAAAGATGTGCGGTGTCTGCAGAGGTGTTCACACGTGGTCGATCACACGTCAAACTGGAAACGACCTAAATGCCCATTGAAAAATTAAGTGTGCTCCTTCCTTACAAGGAAGCATCAGGCTAAAATAATGTCTTAACACTGAATGATGCTGGCAGGTGACAGAGTGAAAGTCGGGGGCTACAGATGGGAGCTAAAGCATCAACCACTTTAAGTTCAACCAAAAAATATGGTGACCCAGAGATCTGTAAGAATTCTAATATTGGGCTGGGGATGTGGCTCAAGCGGTAGCGTGCTTGCCTGGCATGCATGTGGCCCGGGTTCGAATCTCAGCACCACATACAGGAATGTTGTGTCCGCCGAAAACTAAAAAATAAAAATATTGGGAAACTCTCTCTCTCTTAAAAAAAAAAATTCTAATATCGACTATAATGGTTTTTGTTTGCTTTTTGGTACTGGCATGGAACTCAGGGCCTCGAACACGCTAGGCAAGCACTTCGTCCCCCTCGGTAGGTTGCCTAGGCTGGCGGTGAACTTGCCTTCTTCCTGCCTCAGCCTCCTGCATAGCTGGGATCACAGGTGTGCGCCACCACGGCCTCTGCTGAGGGGGTCTTGAAGGCTGTCAGGTGGAGAGGAGCGGATTCACTTTTGCTTGTATTTTTCTTTCCCTGTTGTTATTTTTTTTTAAGTTGCATCGCAGACTGGGCATAGTAGCACACACCCGTAACCACAGCTACTCTGGAGGCCGGGATAGGAGAACTGCAAGTTGGTGGCCAGCCTAGGTAACTTAGAGAGGCCCTGTCTCAAAATAAAAAATAAAAAGGGCTGGGAATGTAGCTCAGTGGTAGAGCGCCCCTGGGGTCCACCCCCAGTGTTGAAAAAAAAAAGTTGCATTATAATTTTTGCATTGTAATTCTTTTTAAAAAAATATTTATTTTTTTAGTTGTAGTTGGACACAACACCTTTATTTCACTTGTTCATTTCTGTATGTGGTGCTGTGGATCAAACCCAGGGTCTTGCACGAGCAAGGTGAGTGCTCTACTGCTGAGCCACAACCCCAGGCCACGCATTGTAATTCTTAACACTGTGCTTATTTGCTCTGTCATGCCCTAACTCCTTGTGTATGTGTATTTATTTACATATACTATTTTTGGAAACATCTGGGTTGACCAGAGATGTCAGGACCTTTTACCCATGTAGGTATATTTATACCCTAAATATAGGGTATAAATACAAATCTGCCAAGAACAAGGTCATTCTCTACATAACTGGTAAAAGTATCAAAGTCAGGAAACCCAGCATTGATACAGTATAATACCATCGTCCACAATCAATTGTCCCAATAACATCCTATTTTTAATAGTTTTTAATTATAGATGGACACAATGTCTTTATTTTATTTATTTTTATGTGGTGCTGAGGATGGAACCCAGGGCTTCCCACGTGCCAGGCAAGCCCTTGGCCACTGAGCCTTAGCCCCAGCCCCCATAACATCCTTTCCAACCCAGAATCCAAGGCCCTTCTGTCACACCTCTCTAGTCCTCACAGAGCCTGACGTCTTGGAGGAGTTCCAGCTGTTTTGCAGACTGACACTCTCAATTTGGACTTGCCTGACGTTTCCTTGAGACACCAGGTGTGTTTCCTTGCCAGGAACCACAGAGGTGCTGGAGAACATGCCATCAGCTCACACATGCTAGGCCAGTGCTCTGCCACTAAGCTACAGCCCCGGCCTTTTATTTTTTATCTTTGAGATAGGGTTTTGCTAAGTTGCTTAGGGCCTCACTGAATTGCTGAGGCTGGCCTTGAACTTGCAATCCTCCTGCCTCAGCCTCCAGTTAATGGGATTATAGGTGTGTGCCACCTTGCCCAGCCACAACTTGCCTTCTTGGGTGGGACTAGGCATTAAGAGGTCTCAGGAAGGGATGAGACAAACAATGGTGACATTGGTTGCTCATCTCTATTTATTTAGTGGTACTAGAAATGGAATCCAGGCCCAGGAATGCTAGGCAAGCGCTCCACCATACACTCCCACCCAGTAGCTCACATTTGTTACACACTGATTCTGTGTCAGGCTCTGTTCTAGTGCTTTCCATGGATTATTCTACTGGGTCCCTACAACACTATGAGAAAGACATTTTTGTAAAGTCTCATTTTACAGATGAGAACCCAAGAACAAAGAGATTAGAATAATTTGTCAGGTCACACCTACTGAATGCAGATACTGGGACAGGAGACCCCATGCAGTCTGTGCTGGAGGCTGCAGGTCTGAGCTCAGGACTGTACTAGAAGTCATTCACTTTCTGGCTCCAGGACTCCTTCCCTCTCTGGCCTCCGCCCCCTTGGCCAAGCAACAGGAATGTGGTCAGCATCCCTCCTGCAGGGCTGGCTGAGATTGAGACCCGCTTTTCTGATATAACTTGAATGTTTGGATCACCTTTCAGGAGCCAGAGAAGGATCAAACAAAATTGTCAGGAACCAGGAATGAAGAGGATGAGCATCACCCTCACTCCTCTATTCCTGGCGCCCAGCTGAGCCTCACGGGGTAGGCAGCAGGCACAGTGGAAGGCCAGGAGATGATAGGAGAGGAATAAAGGCAGGAGGGGAGGGCTGTGGCTGTGGCTCAGCAGTAGAGCACTCGACTAGTACGTGCAAGACCCTGGGTTTGATCCTTAGCACCACATAAAAATAAAGGTACTGTGTCCATCTACAACTTAAAAAAATATATATATATATTTTTTTAAAAAAGGCAGGAGGGGAGTGGGGCACAGTGAGGCACACCTGTAATGCCAGTGAAGTGGGAGGCTCGGGCAGGAGGATCATAAACTCGAGGACAGCCTGGGTATCTCAGACTGTCTCCAAAAGGAAGAAAAAAAAAAAAAGGCTGGGGATGTAGCTCAGTGGTAGAGTACCCAAGATCAAGCTCCAGTACGGGGGTGGGGGAAAAGAAAAAGGGAAGTGGGGGGGCAGGGACCTTATGGAGAACCTGGGTAGGCAGCCACCTTAGCCTGTCCAGGAGTCTGGCCTCCTCTGTCTTCCAAGTTCTGGTTTCATTTTGAGGACTTACTTCCTCAGAGAGATGCTGCCCCCTTCAGGCTCTCCTTACCACTGTCTGGCTCTCATTCTGGACGAAGCAATCACCATGGAAAGAAAATATCCGGTGGAAAATGTCCCCATGTAGTTCCATTTCGATTCTAGGAATATTTTTTCAGTCTACTCAGAGGTAAGTATGGAAGGCCAAGGTGCACAAGTCAGGCACAGTCTTGTGCAGAGGAGCAAGACTGGGAGATGAGCAGGAGTGTGAGGACGGTCAGCCGGACAGACGCGCTGTGAGTGGTGGGACGCTGGGTTGCATGCAGAGGCGGGCGTGACTTCCTCACTCTTACTGTGCATCTGGGAAAAGCAGCAGCAGGACACTGAGGTGATGGGGAGAGGGAAAGGCACCGAGGAGAAAGGAGGAAAGGTCCAGATACTCCTCCGGATCATGGTTTCTAGTTTCTTCATGAATTAGGAAGCGACTTATTGTTTACTAAATAGCTCCCACTTACTGATCCTGTACCATGAAGACTTACCAGTCTGCGATTAAATCTGAATGACGTGTGACCCCACAGTTCCAGCTGAGGGCTGGTTCGTAAGTGCTTGAGTACAATGCTGTGTGTTCCTGAACACAAGAAACTGGTCAGTTTTCCACTACGAAAAAATATTTTATTTTTGGCCAAACTGAATGTAAGCACTTTTTTTTTGGTACCGGGAATTGAACTCAGGGGCACTCGACCACTGAGTCACGTCCCCAGCCATACTTTGTATTTTATTTAGAGACAGGCTCTCAATGACTTGCTTAGTGCTTCGCCCTTGCTGAGGCTGGCTTTGATCTCGCCATCCTCCTGCCTCAGCCTCCTCAGTAGCTGAGATTACAGGTGTGTGCCACCGTGCCCAGCTAACTCTAAGCACTTTTATCATTGCAGATGACAATATTCAAATATGTACTTATTTTTGGTTATATATATTTATATATAAATAATATTCAAGTATGTTTAATGTATTTATTTAAAATAAATGTACAAATTTACTAAGACATTTTAACGAAGTTCAATCCACAGGCATTTTAAAAAGAGATCTTTTAGTTATAGATGGACACATCTATTTATTTTTATGTGGTGAAGACTGAACAAATGCCTCACACATGCCAGTCAAGTGCTCTGCCACAACCCCAGCCCCCATGCATTGTGGACATCAGATTAACTGCCATCATCAGGTACTCTCTGTTACTTAACAGCATTTGAGGTACATCCTACTTCATTTCCTGAAGTTGCCCGAGGACTGGCACTTTCTGTACCTATGCATGACGCTAGAACTTGGAATCTCAGGCCTAGACAAAGCACGGGTCATAAACATGTCTCCCCCAGCTCTCCTCCTGCAATCTTCCCCCAGCTCAGTGGGGATACCTCCACTGACCCATGCTCCCCTCTTGCTTTCACATTGCCTTCAATACCTAACCCAGATTTCACCACCACCACCACATGGATCCAGCCACCATCATCTGCTGATTCTTGCAGCAGCTACTCCTGGTCCCTGCTCCAAATGCAGCCAGGGGCCTAGGTCACTTAGAATCCTCCAATACTCCCATCTCACTGGGAGAAAAGCCAAGTCTGGGCAGTGGACTCTGCCATCTGTCTCCCACACCCCAACTTACTCTTCTCCCCACTCCGCCATGGCTCCTGGGCCTCCTCTGCTGCAGTGCCTCAAGTTAACACCTGTGCTCTGGACTTGTGCAGAATGCTCTCCCCCCATGTGGTCACTGGGATAGTGCCTCATTTCATTCTGGTCTCAGTGCAAATGTCACTTCCTTGACCTGTGCTGGTAATGGTAAGTGCTTTTATTGCTAGCATATAAAAGACCTCAAGGAAATGAAAGCCCAGTTCCCAACTTCCTGACCTGTAACCACAGTCCCGGACTGGACTGATGCTTAGGTAAAGGTGGTCTGCATGGGTGCAGGGCATGAAAGGACTCCAGGTGTCTTGGATAGCTTACTGCTGCAGTCCACTGCAAGATGGAATGAAACACAAGAGGGAGAAGTCAGGGTGGAGCGGGGACGATGGGCAGTTTGGGCCACATTATCATCATTATTTGCAGTGTTGGGGATTGGACCCAGGGACCCACATGCCAGGCAAGTGCTCTTGCTCTACCACTGAGTACTCACACACACACCCTTTGACTGCAACAGGGTCTTGCTAAGTTGCTCAGGCTGGCCTCAAACTTGTGATTCTCCTACCTTAGCCTCCAGGGTAGCATGGCCATGTTAAAATCCTGGGGCTAGGGATGTGTCATGAGGCTCTGGGTTCAATTCCCAGCACCACGAAATACATACACAAATGAATAACTAAATAAATTTAAGAGTCTCTGGGACCAGGATGGGGAAACAGGAGGCAGCACAGCAGCAGAGTGCCACAGAGCAGCACTACGGCCAGGGTTCCACACACTCTGCTCTCTGAATTCTAATATCCTTTAGAGGCAAATATCATTAGCCCCCTGTTCTGGAAGCAGCACTGGCTGGACGTCTGCTGGTGGCAGAGTGCAGCACTTAGAAGCACCCAGGACCTGAAATGTCAGCTTGCAGAAGGCTGCCCTTGAACACCCGCACTGCTGTTCCACCACACTTAGTGAAAGCTGTGTCTAAAGCCTTCTCTATGCAAAAATGTCATCTCTTGCCTCGCTGGAGCCTCTTAACTCTGAGAAGTGTGTGCTGTATCCATTTTAAAAAAGAGGACTGGCAGACCCCCGTGAAGCCCAGCTGGGGTCAGACCTATAACTGGAAACCAGGCTGGACTCAGGGACAGAAAATTCCTCCAGAATAGCAACCGTTTGGAGGTCCCCAGGTCCAGACTTCAGCCAATGGTATTCAATGAAAACAGGCACTACAGCTCACCAGCTGGATAAATTATGAAATTTATTTATATTTCACCTTTTAAAAGCCAGAACATAACAAATTTCACTTTCTGGAAAGTCATCTTATTAGAAATACATGAAGTGCACTTAATACAAGGAAATTAGTTTCTTGGTTCCACCAGTGAGATGTCCGTGCTCTTCTCAATCCCCTCCAATGAAGGGTTTATCAAACTTCCCTCCAAGTTTCTACCGAGACAATCTCAATTCAGGGAGGTCTGAGTGAACTTTTCCCAGAAGTTACAGTAAAGAAGCTGACCTTAACATGTAGGTCCTCCCAAGTAATAACAAATCAGAAAAAAACTACATGGCCCAAAAAGGCCCCTGTCTTTGCTGGTTATTAGGCAACTGCAGTTAGCTCTTATGGTGGGTGGTAAGAGCTCACAGCAATAGGGTACAGGCCCAAAGCCATTTGCAACCTTGGCCACTGACCAGGAAAAAACTGCCATATTCAAACTGGAGATGTGTGACACAAAAGAATGAACCAAATCCATAAGCCTTTTGGTCCATCAGAGATTCTGCTCCTATACAGTAGCTGGCAGCTCTTATCTTGGAACTAATATTCATGAAACATGCTCAGCTTCAAGCTTCTCGAACAGCTACTGAACCACGTTCCCAGTACACAGCTTTTATTAACTTCTCGTCAGAGGGCGTGCTGTGCCTTGCAGTCAGTGTGTCTTGTAAGAGACAACAGGGTGCACCACAGCCTCTCTCAGAGTTGAAAGCCAGGGTTTTAAAACAGCAATTTGGATGGTGAAACAAGTGTCATAAAGAAACCATTTGTGACAGTAAAATAATGCTCAGTTTAATCTAAGTTACCAAGTAAAAGATAAAAGAACTAGTAGCCACCAGATCCCCCACACCTTTTTCCTTTTAATCATTTTATCTCCTTTTCATGCTTCAGGACAAGAATGTACACAAGCCCTCAAAGAGAAAGGTAAATGTGACCCAGTCATCTGAAAATACTTTGTTAGCTTGAAAACCAAAAAGCTATGGCCCTCCCGCTCTCTTAGCTGACTCCCTTCCCCACTTATGGAAAAATGCTGTTTAACTTTCCTAACCTAGAAACACCTCCACTAAAAATATATGGTTATACCTTATCCTAAAAAAAAAGGCACCATGCAGGCATTTAAGACTGAACCAGTTAATTCTAAGGGTTTGCAGGAGTGTAGCAAAATATCACTAATAAAATTTCCAGCATCAAATCATGCAAAACCCAGAATGTTCACCCCAAGAGGGTTCCTGAAATGTTTCCCAGGGTACAAACTTCAGCTTCTAGCAGCCACTGCCCACCCCATGGACAGGCAGCTCCACCACTGAGGAGTGTCAGCCCTGGTCGGCTGCACTGTGGCTACAGCTCATAAACCTCAGGGCAAGGAAAGGAGACGCTTGTTTCATTGTGCTATTTGTGACCCAGAAAAGGTCCTGGCTGGCTCAAAGGATCTGAGACTTGAATACTGGATTGGAGGAACAGTGTGAAACAAGAACACATGGAGGTGAAGAAGCTGGATTTTCTTCCAGAAGAGGCAGCAGAAGCTCTAGGAATTAACTGAGGACCAATGCGACTCAACCAGGTGACAAAACAAGTTTAACAGTGGGGAAGATAGCTTTGGTGAGAGCCCAAAGGAAAAGAGGGCTCTGACCCGGGGACCCGTTCCCCCCATCAGAAGTGACCCTGTCCCAATGCCATGGCTCATTTCCAGGTCTGTTGTACAGTTAAGGTGTAGGAGTCAAAGGTTTCACACTTAACATGTAATGGAAGCTCTAGAACACGAGACGGAAAGCAAGGACTCTGCTCACTGGTCGATGATGGAGCGCTGCAACACCTGATTCATCATGTCCTCTTCATCAACATCGTAATCCTGAGGGCAAGAAACACACACTCAGCAACTGTCCACAGCTGCACAGACCCTCAGCAGGAGAACACCCCAGCAATAGGGTCTAGTGAGAGCTGCCAGGGACCCCAGCCCATCATCTGCATTAAATGGACAAATTACTTCATCTCTCAGTCTGTGCTGCCTCCTCCACTGGAGGCCTGGGCAGCACACAGAGCCTGCCACAGACAATAGTCAGCGCGCTCAGTTTAGCTCATGGATCCAGAAGGCAGACATATGCAGACTGAAGAGTCATTAGTCAGCACGGACCTCAGTGCCAAGGAAGGACAGGGGTTTCTGAGGGCCATAAGGTACAGCAGAAATACAGTAAAACGACTCTTCTTTAATGAGGCAAAATTATCTACTCGGGCATTTTTAGGAACTGTATCCATCATTACAGCACTAATGAAAAGGATACTTATCCTGAAGTCTGGAGTTTTAGACATTGTCAGACACAATACTTTTTTTCTGATACCAGGAATTGAACCCAGTCTCTTCCCTAACACTTTTTATTTTTAATTTTGATACAGGGTCTGGCTAAGCTGCTGAGGCTGGCCTTGAACTTGTCATCTTCCTGCCTCCAACTCCCCAGCATCTGGGATTACAGATAGGTACCACCATGCCCTGTGTATCCCCCCACATTGATCCCTGGGCACTCTACCCACTGAGCTGGCTTCTTTAAAAATTTAAGACAGGGTCTCACTAAATTTCCAAGGCTGCCCTTTAACTTTCGATCCTCTGCCTCAGTCTCTGAGTTGCTGAGATTACAGGGTTGTGTACCTCCACGCCTGGCAAGAATAAATCTATGTTTTTTACAGTGCTGGGGACAGGATACAGGGCCTCACACATGCTAGTTAAACAGTCTACCACTGAGCCACATTCCCAGCCCTGAGAATCAATATTCTTTTTGACAACCTAGGAAAGAATTTTTGTCATATCCTGAAATACAGCCATTAAGAGTAAACACTACTCTGCCAGGCATGATGGGACATACCTATAATCCCAGTGCCTCAGGAGGCTGAGGCAATAGGTTCAGAAATTATAGGATAGCCTTGGGAATTTAATGAGGCCTTTTCTTTTTTTTTTGTAGTTGGACACAATATCTTTATTTATTTATTTTTATGTGGTGCTGAGGATCGAACCCAGGGCTTCGCATGTACTAGGGGAGCACTCTACCACTGAGCCACAACCCCAGCCCTAATGAGGCCTTTTCTTAAAATAAAAAAAGCTGGGGATGTAGCTCAGTGGTAGAGCACCCCTGGGTTCAATCCCCAAAAACACACACAGAAAGAGTAAACACTACTCTAAAATCCTAACTTGACACTGCAGCATTGCTTCAAATCCCAGGCCCAGTGCATGCTGGGCAAGTGATCTATCACTGAGCCACACCCGAGTCCTGGGCCTGCATTCCCACAACAACAATCAGCTGCACTAGGTGGCAGCATACCATGAGTCATGCCCTATTAGCTTACAAATTCTTTTGAGGGGCTGGGGATGTGGCTCAAGTGGTAGCGCGCTCGCCTGGCATGCGTGCGGCCCGGGTTCGATCCTCAGCACCACATACAAAACAAACATGTTGTATCCGCCGATAACTAAAAAATAAATATTAAAATTCTCTCTCTCTCCCTCTCCTCTCTCACTCTTTAAAAAAACAAAAAAAAAAAAAAAAAAAAACAAATTCTTTTGAGGACCATTTCTATTCTTTGCCTGGTCCTCAGGCACACACACAAAAAAAGAGCCTGAGGTTCCCAAACTAAGATGTGTAACAGGCAGAAATTATACCTACAAAAAGAAAGCTGGAGGGCCAAGCATGATGGTGAACACCTGTAATCCCAGTGGCTAGGGAGGCTGAGGCAGGAGGATCTTCAAAGATCAAAGCCAGCCTCAGCAATTTAGCAAAGCCCTAAGCAACATAGAGAGACCCTGTCTCAAAAAATAAAAAGGACCAGGAATGTAGCTCAGTGGTAGAGAACCACCCCCCCACACTGGGTACAATATCCAGTCCCCCCAACCCTAGAAAAAAGTGGGGCAAAATGGGGGCAGGGCAGGAGCAAGCTTCACTGTATTGTTCCAGTAACTGTCAAGATCATCTCAACAGCACTCCGATCACGTGGCTGCCAGGAGAAGACACTGCACGGCTGCCATGCAAGGACCTGGGAGCTGTTGCATAGAGACAAGGCTGGATGACAGGCTCCCCTTCCTCTTCTCAGAGACAGCGAGAAGTTCTGCTGTCCCCTAGGAGAGAAATACGACTCACCACAAAAGTGTCATAGGAAAACTGGTGCCGGCGTTGGATGTGTTCTATGAAGTTGGCGCTGCGGTAGTTGGGGTCTCCCCAGGGCATTGAGGCACATATTGGACAGACCTTTCAACAAAGAAGCAAGATCTCAGGCACCTGACTTCTGAATGGACTCCAGCCCTCTGCGACCTGCTGGCTGTCTCTCCTCCAGGATGGTTTTCCTGACACCTAGTGCGGAACACCTAGTCCTCCTTCCTGTGCACACCAGAATCCCAGAGAACACTTCAAGTCTCCTGCTTCAATCACATGACACGTGGGTGTGGGTGGTCACTTAAGTCATAGTATCATCCCTTCTGAAAGGCTACTGTAGTCAAAAAGGGGCCAGTCCTGTGGGGGTGGGAATATTGCCTTCCAACTCAGCACACAAGCTGATCCAAAAAACCCAAGGACAACCAAATAAATAATCAGATTAATTATAGCCCAGGAAGTACAGCACAGCCTTATGTGCATGTTGACAAAGTAAATGCTCAGATGACTGGGATCACACCAGAAAGCGATCCAACAGGCTGATTTGAGCTTTGAAGACTAGAGGTCCATGGAGAGACAGAGAAGCTAGTGGGTGGCAGCATCACATGATGGAGAATTCAGGAAGGAGGATGGTATCATGCTTCAGCTTAGCGATGTAACCCTAGCCAACTGCAAGGCACACAGGGATAGAGGGGACTGGCAAGAGATGAATCTTGGATAACAGAGCAACAAGCGGAATATGCAGCAAGCAGCTGTGGAGCTAGAACACAGCCTAGAGACTGAAGAGAAGATGGCTTCCAAAGTGAAGGGCTGAGAGCTTGAGACTAAGCAGCTGTAGAGAGAGAGGAACTAGGACAGAGGCCAGAAGCTTAAGGACAAAAGGTCTCAACAGAAACAAAACCACCAGAGGAACTTCAGGGTGCCAAAGGGGAAGGAAGGAGTAGAGACGGGAAGCAAATTAGGCTGTCATACCAGAAAACAGGGGCTATCAAAATTATGAGTGCAGTTAGCCATTGCCCAAATTAATTCACCTCCAAGACTGTATCTTATAAACATGCACCAACAGAGCTAGGGATAGACGTCTGCAGTAGATCGAGTGCCTAGCATGCTCAATGGCCTGGGTTCCATCCCCAGCACTCAAAAACCAACCAACCAACAGATATATAGTTAAGCAAAAAAATAAACACACAAAGATGTTAGAATTTATGACAATAATTTACTTTTTTTTTTGGTACTCGAAATTGAACCCAGGAACACTCTACCACTGAGCTTTTTATCTGGCTAAGTCTTAACCCAGTCTGGCCTTGAACTTTCAATCCTGCTGTCTCAGCCTCCTAAACCATTGGGATTATAGACATGTGCTACTGGACCAGCTTAGAACGCTTCTCTCCTCTTATCTAGTGCAGCCAAAGAAGATATACCAGACTATCATTTTGGAATCATAAGCAAAGCAAAATAACAGATGTTATGACCCATCCAGACTGACATCTGCTCATTGAAATTTTAGTAATCGTCTATGTAAAAAATATAAATATTGGAAAAATGACTATTTTGGGGTGAGAATAATAAATTATTTGTGATTGTCTTATGTCCTGAAAAGCTGATTTGTTGCCATGGCATAACATAGTTACCAAATCTGAATACAGAAAAAACTACAAAACCATAAAGAAAGTGGTGCACACCTGTAATCCCTAATGGCTAGGAAGGCTGAGGCAGGATTACGAATTCAAAGCCAGCCTCAGGAACTCAGGCTCTGAGCAACACAGTGAGATCCTGTCTCTAAATAAAATACAAAAAAAGGACTGGGGGACTGGGGCTGTAGCTCAGTGGTAGAGCACTTATCTTGCACGCATGAGGCACTGGGTTCAATCCTCAAAAAAATAAATTAATAAAAAATAAATAAAGACATTGTGTCCATCTACAACTAAGGGAAAAAATATATATATAAAAGGACTGGGGGCATGGCTCTGGGTTGAATTCCTGGTACCAAAATAAAAACAAAAAACAAACCAAAAAACCCCATAAAGACTGAGAAGCCAGGTGTGGTGTAATCCCAGCTACTCAGGAGGTTGAGGCAGGAGGATTATAAGTTTGAGGTCAGCTTGGGCAACTGAGCAAGAACCTGTCTCAAATAATATAAAAAGGTCTGGAGAGTAGCTCAGTGATAAGAGGGCTCTGGGTTCAATCCCCAGTTTCACATACATACATAAAATAAATAAAAGACAGACTGAGGCCAACTGATGCTATGGGGGAACAGACTTAGGGGAAGGGTTGGAAAGAAGCTCCCATTTTTTTGAGGTGGTGGGGATTTGGATTTAACCCAGGGCCTCACACATGCTAGCAAGTGCTCTACTACTGAGCTACATTCCCAGCCCCGGAGAGATTTTTTATAGTCCACTTTTCATATAATAAGCTATCAGCCAAGTAATCCCAGCAGCTCAGAAGGATCGAGAATTCAAAGCCAGCCTCAGCAACGGGGAGGCACTAAGCAACTCAGTGAAACCGCGTCTCTAAAATACAAAATAGGGCAGAGGATGTGGCTCAGTGGTTGAGTGCCTGAGTTCAACCCCCAGTACAAAAAAAAAAAAAAAAAAAAAAAAAAAAGCTATCTACAAAGAAACAAATTCTTAAAATTTCAGAGATGATGGAAAACAAGGACTTTTATTAAAAGACTAGCTGGGACACACAGAACATGATTTCAGCAGGATGGTAGAAGTAGAAGCTGGACTTTGCAGAGGACAGAGCAGCACTGAAAAGCCACAATTTGGAGGGCAAAGAAACTTAATGCTATTAGAGAAAGCAAACTGGATCGGATATTCTTCCCATCAATTAGACAGGAAAGGCAATGTGCCAAGTCCTAGTCTGGGTCCTTTACCTAGCCCAGAGAATACAGTTAAGAAGAGTGAGATGGACAGGTGCCCACCTGTTATCCCAGCAACTTAGGAGGCTGAGGCAGGAGTAACGAAGTTCAAAGACAGCCTCAGCAAGTTATGAGACCCTGTCTCAAAATAAAAAATCAAAAGGGCTAGAGACATGGCTCAGTGATAAAGCACCCCAGGTTCAATCCCTGGTATGGGGCAAAAGGAGAGAAAAGAGCAAGATGTAGAAAGGAGCCTTTCCTTAACACAGGAGGGAAGGAGAGACCCAAGGTACAAATGTTGCAAACACAAGTGCTCTTGGGGACAGACTAGTAAGGCAAATGAATGAAGCAGGTGCTGCATTAGCCCATCCCATTTAGAGGGGACAGCAACTACACAAAACTACTCAAAGCTGGGCCTGAGTTGGAGCTTGGGCGTAGAGCACTTGCCTAGCACATAAGAGGCACTGGGTTCGACCCACAGCACCACATTTATTTTTTTTTCGTTATACATGGACATAATATCTTTGTTTTTTCATTTTTATGCGGTGCTAAGGATCAAACCCAGTGCCTCCCATGTGCAAGGCAAGTGCTGTGCCACTGAGCCACAACCCCAACCCAACTGCATTTAAATAAATAAAATAAAGGTCCATCAATAAAAAGGACCCAAAGACATCACATGACACTAAGATGGCACCCAAAATACACAGCACTTCCATACCATCCCCACATCTTCTTGGGGGGAAAGGGGGAAATCATGATGAAGAACACAACTATTAAAATTTAAACATGGATATTAGATTGTATCCATGTTAAGTTTTCTAAATACAATTACAAAAAGTGTAATTTTATAAAAAAATGTTCTTATTCTTTGGATATATGCCGAAGTATTTAAGGGTCTAAGAGTCATGGTATCTATAACTTATGCCCAAATGTTATGGTAAAATGTTAATTTGGAAATCTAGGTGAAGGGTATACAGAAGTTCACAAATCCTATAATTTTCTTGTAAGTTTGACTTATTCCCCCATTCAAATAAAAAAGTCTTACCACAGATTTGGTATCTGTGCTGTGGGATAATTTGCAGTGCTCCACAAGTCCTTCCTGATCAAAGTTCTTCTCAGGACAGTAAGGACAAGGAAAGGTGTAACGATTTGGGACATTCCTGAAAGATGAAAGGCAGAAGAAAAAAATCTCTCTGTAAACACCTTTCCACACAACTTCAATCAAAAAGGAACAGAGTTCACTAACTGTGTGAGAGAAGTATTCTGATCATCACTTCCAAATCAGGTCAAGTGTTTAGAAAATAACAGCACAGCTAACATTTGAAGTGAACGTCGGAGTGCCCCAAAACAACAAACTTGAATCAATTTTAAACCCTAGAGCATAAAGTACCCAACAATTTTGTAGCAAAAAATGAACTCCAGCTAAGGGGGTGACTGAGTTACTAACCTTGGCTGAAGGGATGCGTCCTTAGTAGTGGCCTTCACACCTTCCATGATGTAGTTCTGGTATTTGGAACAGGTAGCCACGTGGGCTCGGATCTTAGATAGGAAGAACTTGAATAGGAAGAATCAGAATCCACAAGTTAGCACCTTATATCAGGCAAATATGGTCCCAAAGCAAGGGCAAGACGAAAACTGGACCTACATTACCCTGGCAAACAACCTCACTACACTCCTGACTATACTGATGGGGTAGAACAGGGACTGTAGAACCATTAATAAAAAGGCCGATGTTTTCCACTTGACAAAACCATGACATCTGCTTCTACTCTAAAAGAATTCTTCTAGAGGTTTGCTTTACTCATGATATACAAAGACCTTATAGACATGCTCCAAATCAAGTGATGTTTTTAAAAAAAGTTTTCTATACTCAATCTAGGTTATAAGATGGAAAGAGGAAAAAAAAATCCAAAAAGTGCTTCATCACAGGTTGCAGGGTGGTGGGGAAATATAACAGGAACTGAACCCAGAGGTACTCTGCCATTGAGCTATAGAATTACATCCTTGCATTTATTTTTTTGTTATGTGGTGATGGGGATTGAACCCAGACCCTCATTCATGGAAGGCAAGTGCTTTACCACTGAGCTATCTCCCCAGCCCCCCAGAATTACATTCTTTTTTTTTTTAAATATTTATTATTTAGTTGTAGTTGGACACAATACCTTTATTTTATTTACTTATATGTGGTGCTGGGGATAGAACCCAGGGCCCCACACGTGCCAGGCAAACACTCTACCACTGAGCCACAAACCCAGCCCTGGAATTACATTCTTAATTAAGAATTAAGAGTTCTTAATTTTTTGAGACAGGGTCTCATTAAGTTGCCCAGGATGACCTTGAACCTACAATCCTCCTATCTCAATCTCCCAAGTAGCTGGGATTATAGGTGTGTACCACAGTACCTGGCTTCCCCGGCACTGTTTTTGGCTCTTTCTTTTTTGGAAGTACTAGAAATCTAACCCAGGGCCTGTGCATGCCAGGATAAGTGCTCTATCACTGAGCGACATCCCCTACCCTGTGTACTGCATTTATTTATTTGTTTATTTATTTATGTATGTATGTACGTACGTACTAGGGATTGAACCCAGAGGTGTTTTACCACCAAGCCATATCTCCAGCCCTTTTTTTGAGACAGGGTCTCACTAAGTTGCTGAGGCTGGCCTTGAACTTTCGATCCTCAGGCTTCAGCCTCCTGAGCTGCTAGGATTACAGGTGTGAACCACTGTACCCAGATTGTTTTTTGCTTTTGCTTTTTTTGGTACCAGGGATTTAACTCAACCACTGAGCCATATCCCCAGTCCTATTTTGTATTTTATTTAGAGACAGAATCTAACTGAGTTGCTCAGACACTAAATTGCTGAGGCTGGCTTTAAACTGCCTCAGCGTCCAGAGTCACTGGGATTACATGTGTGCATCATCATGCCCAGCACTGTTTGCTTTTTGAAACAGGGTTTTGCTATGTTGCCCAGGCAGGCTTTGAACTCCTGCACATCAGCAATCAATCCTGCCACTGCCTCCCAAGTAGGCAGGACTATAAGGCACAAAGAAAGAAAAAGTGTATGGAATAAAGAAAAAGGGTGGGTAAGGGAACAAAAATATTTTTTGAGGTCCGTATGGTACAATAATTAATCTCTTGGTTTCTTTTTTGTTTCCAGGTATTGAACCCAGGGTCGCTGAAGCACTGAACCACATCTCCAGCCCTTTCTCCATTTTTTTTTTTTTTAATTTTGAGATAGGGTGTCACTAACTCCTTAGGGCTTCACTAAATTGCTGAGGCTGGCCTTGAACTTGTGCTCCTTCTGGCTCAGCTTCCTGAGTTGCTGGGATTACAAGTATGCACCACTGTGCTCAAGTTTGTTTTGTTTTTTTTTGAGACTGGGTCTCATTATGTCAGCCAGGTGGTCTCAAACTCCGGTCATCTCTACTTAGCCTCCCAAGGAGCTGGGACTATAGGTGTGCCAATCACTAATCTTTAAAATGGAGAAAAACAAAAGCATTCGGCAGGGGAAAAAAGAAATACCATGTGTGCATGAAGAAAGATGAAGAGGAAATTTTATTTCAGTAATTTTAAAGTTTCTAAATTCAACTGCGGGGGGGAGGGGGGGTTGTTATCTGAATTCCAGCTTACCACGACAAATCTGTCTTACCTCCAGCTCAAGAATTTGTTAACTTTAAGCTTACCAACCAAGGAGCTCCTAATTAAAAGGGATGGGAACTAGTCTTAAGATAGCACTGTAATAGCCCTGCTATATACACCTAATACTAACTCACTCTGAAAGGAAGGAGATAAACTATGTCCATACTATGGCCACCTATATACTTGTTTTAAAAATAATAAAACTGACAAGCAGGACTGCCCGATTAAGTGAAACAAAACTTCCAAAAGTCAAAAACGTTACAAAATATGTAGTATGATCCCATTTTCTAAAAAAAATCCTATACCTATTATTTATAAAAATTTTATCTGCATTTGCCAAAGGGTAGAAATGTCAGGCAGACTTCTAAATCGAACTGCTTTTGCGATGATAATCTCTGAAGAAGCAGCCTATGGTATTTTATATTTTTGTACTGTTTAGAGCATGGATGCATTTCAAACGTTAGATAATGCTATTAAAATTATGATTTCATATTTCTATCATGATTCTTTCCCAGCAAGTGCTAAAAAGTTTAACCATTAAATTCATATCTCTAATGATACAGATTATAAAGTTTCCCTTCAAACTCTTTACAGTAGATAACTTCTTTGACTCACCAACTTCATTTTACAGTTTATTTTAAATCCAGGGTGCTTCACCACTGAGCAATAGCCCAGCATTTTTTTTTTTTTTTTTTTTGAGTCAGGGTCTTGCTAAGCTACTCAGGGTCTTACTAAATTGCTGAAGCTGGTCTTGAACTTGCCAGCCTCCTAAGTCACCTGTGCACCGTGCCCAGCTTCATTTTATATTTTAAACAATCATAAAATGTCATTATATTCTAATTCAAGTTGTGTTTAATACTTTGGAAAATAGATCTCATAGGAACAAATGGATTAGTTATTCCTGACTTTCAAAGCTAAAATATATACTATATCCAACCAACTCATGAAAAAAGAAACAAAAACCAGTAGGTAGGGTTACAAAAATGAAAACAGCACAGCCATCACCACAGATAACTGGCATGCACACGTGCTGTTAGTCACCTAGTCATGCTCTAACTTCAGAAATGCCGTGGCAACAGCTCTACGCTTTACCCATCTCATCACAGGATAATGACTCTTCCATGTTACTTCCACATACATTCTTACGGCAGCCATGGCAAGAAGTCTCTGTGCTCTCAATCTGCCGCTCGAGCTCCACAGCTCGGACGCCAGGTGCCAGAGCGCTGCGACACACCCCACAGACAGGTTTCTTCGGCTTCAGACATTCCTGCAGGCATGCAGAGCAAAAGCTAGAACAAGACACACAGAGAACCTCCGTCATGCATCGTGGAGACAAGACAACAAATGTGGATAAACTTTTAAAAGGACATCAATGAATAATGGATTAAAAACAATTTGTCCCCTACACCCAATTAAAATACTAAGATCTTCTAGGACAGAAAAATTGTTGTTGAGGGTAGCAGCAGACTATGAAGAACACACAGGTCTCGTAACAAATAAACACGAAGTACCATGACACAGGTAAAACGCAATAATGTTGAGGCTTCAAACCCTAGCCCCTGCCACTGAGGGACTTGGCGGGCGTTTCCAGAAACGTAATTTTCTCCTCTATGAAATGAAGATGGCAGTATCTACCTCTAGGATTGTTTGGGAGGATGGAATATGTATAGCAGACCCTTAGTATATTGTCTACCACAAAAGAAATGCACAGTAAATGGGAACTGCTGTCAGAGGTGAAAGCAAAGCACTGTGGGAACACAAAGCCAAGAACAATAGTTGTAACCTAAGGAGAACAAGGTTGGTAAGACTTCAGAGTAGCCTCCGTGATCAGCCTTAAAGAGTTCTGCTGCCAGAGGAAGGGAAGACTATTCCAGGCCCTTAGGTTTAAAATTTATGATGCACTTAAGATAAGTCTAATAAACTTCCTCAGAAGCAGCAGAAAGCCGGAGGTTCAAAGCAAAAAGACCAAATCTGGCTTACAGAAAAACAACTCTGGGACAACAGAACTTTATTTTGTTTGGTTTTTTTTTTTTAGATAGGAAGAAATAAAGTACAAACCTAATAAATGACTATAGGCAAGGGACTGTGAAGTCCTGACAAAAAAGAATGAATTCAGGATACAATTTAGAGGCAGTATGACTTGAGGACTTACTGAATTTGAAAAAGTAAAAAAAAAATGACAGTTTCTTCCCTAAAACTTAGGCAGGTGATGTTGAGATTCGGTATACAGAAAGAATGAATAAAGGGCTGGGGTTGTGGCTAAGTGGGAGAGCACTTGCCTAGCATGTGTGAGGCCCTGGCTTCGATTCTCAGCACTGCATATAAACAAATAAAATAAAGGTCCATTGACACCTAAAACAATATTTAAAAAAAAAAAAAAAAAAAAAAAAGAAGAAATAAGGCATGAAAATGCGCTGGGCTACTTACCCAATGTAACAGATTCTCAACTTTTTCTTTAAGATAGGGGTTTATGTTGCCCATGTTGGTCTCAAATATATAAGCTCAAGTGATCCTTCTGCCTCAGCCTCCTACGACCATAGGCAAGTACCACCATGCTAGGCTCCAATTTTATTTCAAGGTAGGATTAACAGATTCTGTCAGCACTCAGAATGTATAATCAAAGGCACCCTTCTGTACACCTGACGATGTTTTAGTGTCTCTAAGAATTTTTTCATCCATGCTGGGCATGGTGGTGCACATCTGTAATCCCAGCTGCTCAGGAGGCTGAGGCAAGAGGATTGGGAGTTCAAGGCCAGCCTCAGCAACTTAGTCAGGTTCAAAGCAATTTAAAAAGACCCTGTCTCAAAATAAAATATAAAAAATGGGCTGGGGATGTGGCTCAGTGGTTAAGCACACCTGGGTTCAATCTCTGGTAGCCCCCCGCCACCCAGGACATAAAAATGCTGCTAGGCTAGTATAAGGTAGTCTAGTACAGGTAAGGGGGCCTACTCATTTGCTTGAGGGCAGAATGAAAATGAGACAAAGTCTCTGTCCTCATGATGCTATATTCTAAAGTAGAGGAAAACACATGTCAATTTCACATAGTGATTAAGTATATGAAATAAATAAAACAAGGCAAAGAGATCAGTTGGGGCAACCACAGGAAACCTGAGGTAACATTTGAACTAAAACCTGATTATGAAGATAGACACACAGATCTGAAATGATACCAAATGCAAAGGCATGTCTCAAGGGCAAAAAGGAAGATCTTTGAGGCTGTGACATAGCAGACTAAAGAGAGAACACAAGTGACAAGGTAGGAGAGGAAGCATGACCTCATGGCCATCGTGGCACTGCCTCTTCAAGGGGGCACAGAGGGTCATAGAACCCAGCAAGCAAATTGATAAAACCAACCATTTATCCTCAGCAAACAGTTCATGGTACAGCTCATCTATCAAATGTTCAGAAGCCCCTTTTATACCTGAGTTATACCTAAACAAGCCTTTTTTTTTTTTTTTTGGTGTGTGGGGGGTGATATCGGGGACTGAACCCAGGGATACTTAATTAACCACTGAGCCACATTCCCAGCCCTTTTTGGGACAAGGTCTTGCTAAGATTGCTCTGGAACTTGCAATCAGCTTCCCCAGTCAGTGGTATCACAGCTGTGCATCATCATGCTCAGTCAAGCTGCTTTTAAACTATACTAGGTTGACTTTCAGTTTCTATTTCCTAATAACAGGGTTTCAGCATTCCAAATGCTCTATCACACTGCTATGAAGAAATCCCTTTTCTTGGGCACCTAGCTTCCACAGCCTTTCTTCCCCTGAATACCACTTGACTGAGGTGTATGAGTCATTCAGGTCTTTTCCTTTGTTCCCCTCAGTACTGGGGATTGAACCCAGGGGTGCTCTGTCACTGAGCTACCTCCCCAACCCTTTTTATTTTGAGACAGGGTCTCACTAAGTTGCTGATCTTGAATGTGCAATCCTCCTCCTCAGTTGCTGGGATTACTTGGTGCGCACCACTGCAACTGGCAATCTTTCTGGTCTTTAAAAATAAAGTTTTTTTTTTTTTTAAATCCAACGTCAAAGCCACAGCTATCATGATGTCCAAATTAAGAAATCAACTAAGCAGAGAGCAGAGCTGGAGCTATGAGACACCTTTGCTGCCCTCACCAAGGTGCATCTGTCTGTCTTCAATCAGCACTGAACTGCTCAACACAGGAAGCTGGTACAGTGAGCAGAGGAGAGGAGACAAGGCTTGGATCCCGGTACTGTTTCTTGCCCTCTTACCCAGGAAAGGTTCAGGTGACCCAAGGAAAACTCAACTTTCGCTGCTTTTCAGATGGTTACTGTGCTGGGTCATCTTTTTTACAAATGTTAATACCTACCCACACAGGCTTAAACCCTGTAAACCACTTGCAGTCCAGTGAATTGATTATAAATAATCAATTCACTGGACTGTAAACTGAGGGCAGGGATCATGTTCTTGCGTTTTCTGGCACACACAGGGCATACAAACATCTCAGTTGACTGCAAGATTAGAATCTGGATAATCAGAACTCTGCTTAAGCACCAGGAAACTATTTTGGGCAACAGGGAGCTCCAGGAGAGAACTGAAGAAGGTGATTTAAGCTTGAGAAGGATCTGGGGGGCAGGGGCGGGAAGGTGTGAATGGGGCAAGAGTTCCAGGTTAACTGAACTGCAGAAAGGAATAGCCCCAGGCTGGAAAGAGCTTAGCGCGCCGGGAGCAACAAAAAAGCCTGTGTGGCCACGAAGCTCTAGGTTCTCGGGGCTAGCAAAACAGGACACCTGCGATGCGAGTGAGTCTCAGTCTCCTGAGCTTATGCACCTGTAAAATGGTTCCCGGCGTCCCCCTCCCCAGCCCCTGCAGCAGGGCTGCTGTAGGAATAATGCCCCTGTGTCCCAACAAGTGCCTATTGTGTCTGCTGAGAGTAATGGGGTCCCCAAGGCCGATGCCAAGGTGATGCCCGTGATAAGCACGGAGGGCGGCAACGAAGAAAATGCCACCTCTTGAGCAGCTGGAAGCAGGTGGCCAGGTTTTCTTCGATTTTTCGGCTTAGGTGTGCGTGACGGGGCAAGGCTCGGGTTCAGGCCAGCCCGCCCCGGCGCCTGCGGCAGTGCGGGACACCCTCACACCAAGCTCCTGATGGGCAGCCCGGTCTGCACCCCGACGCTGCTCAGGCCGCGGGTCCTGCACTGGAGGAAGCGGGACGCCGACAGCTCCCGGCCGCCCGGCCTCCGCCGACGGTCTCCCTCCCGTCTCTGGCTGCTCAGCGCTGCGCCAAGTTCGCGCACCGGTCCTGACCCCAGCGCCGCGCCCCTGTCCCGCCCAGGTGCCGGCGCCGCGGGCGGAGGACGCTCCGAGGGCCGCTCTGGGCCGCCGCTCGGCCGCGCGGGCCCCCGTCGGGCCTCGCTCCCGGCTCGGCTCCCTCCCGCCAGGCGCTCCCCTGCCAGCCCAGCTCCCACTTACACGTGTCCGCAGGGCACCTGCACCGGCTTCTCGTACACCTCCAGACACACGGGACACGTGAAGCGGCCCAGGGGGTCGGCCTCCGCGGCGGGCCCCGCCAGCTGCGTAACGCCCTCACGGGGCTGCTGTTGCGCCGCCATCTTGCTGCCGCCGAGCGAGCGCCGCGCCGCGCCGGCCGCGAGGGAGGAGGCGAGGGGCGGGGCCGAACGGTGGCGGCGCGTGCGCGGGGCGGGGCCTCTGAGCGTGGGGCGGGGCCTCTGAGCGTGGGGCGGGGCCTCCAGGCCGCTGCCGGGCGCGAACGGGTTCGTCTGCAGCCTCTGCGAGCCCGGGAGTTCCTCTCTTTTTTTTTTTTTTGAGATAAAGAAAATTACACATCTTTTATTATCAGATGATACTAGATAATACTAAAGAATCACTATTAATTTTGTTGGTAACACATAACAGTAGTAATATAACAGTAGTATTGTTACATACCTTATGGTTACTAAATCCTTACAATTTTTGAGGGAACCAAATACAACACTCTACGTGGAAATATTTATACCTTCATATCGTTCTTTTGTGGAAGAGCAAGCTTTATTTCAAAGTAACCCGAGAAGAGGGGTCAGGGGGAACACATTTACAAACTGGATGGGAGCACACAGATACTGTATCCATTTGGCAAAGGCTCAGTCAGAAGTCTCAGCAATTCCTGCTGATCCTCCAACACCTACTCAGTTTCCTCTTCAGGCTGAAACTAAAGAGTAGTCTCGAAGATGCCCATGATGTCTTTGTTATCCAAACACACTCCCATTTCAGGAAAGAGGACACCTGGGGTCTACTTTCTGGGGGATCTGATTAATTATTAAAAATAAATATTTACATTGAGAATATAGTTAAACTAGTAGCTTCCTTCACATTTTCACATTTTAAAAAGAACCAGAGGTTTCATGTTTTAAGCAGTTGAGTTGGTAAAGATCCTGTCTCCATTTTATAGGAGATGGATTACATTCAATTACTCCTTACAACTGAAAGATCATTCCATTGCTTTTGAGTACTGGATGGGCTGGCATCTGCGAGGGTAGCTAAATAAATGAGATTTCTATGTAACACGTGCTGGTACTGGACACACTCATTCGCTCCACCCTTGTTCTGATGCTCCACGATACAGCGGATCAGCTGGTCATTCTCCTCTAGGAGCTGCTGGATAGTCTCTTGATTGACTTCCGCCTTGCCCCTCATCCAGTCAGGTACAAAGGCCACCGACATCGCTGGGGGCCTGGGTGGGCACCCCACCTCGGAAAAAGACGCCCACCGTGCGGCCAGATAGATGCTGTCTCCCCCCGGAGTTCCTCTCTATCTGAGCGTCCAGGTGAGAATGATGCCCAGCCAACGTGTGGGTTAGACCCTGGTGAGTCCCAGAAGAGGAGCCAGCTACACCGTGCCCACGAGCCGGGCCCACGACCCTCGCCCACGGACACTGGGAGACAATAAATATTAAACTGTTTAAGTTTGGGGGGTGTTTCGTTATGCAGCGACAGATAACTAATACAACGTTAGTTAGTTATTATATTTTTTTTTTTGAGGGCGGCTAACGGGGATTGAACTCCGGCCCACTGAGCCACATCCCCAGGCCTATTTTGTATTTTATTTAGAGACAGGGTCTCACTGAGTTGCTTAGCACCTCGCTTTTGCTGAGGCTGGTTTTGAACTCACTGTCCTCCTGCCTCAGCCTCCTGAGCTGCTGGGATTACAGGTGTGGGCCACCTCATACAACCTTAATCTTGAGCAGTTTGCCCAAGAAGATTCCTGAGAATCTTGTACCGGTAGTTCCCATCCTTTCTCCTTTTGGGTTGTCTAACTCTTCTATCAGTTTGGTGCATTTTATTTTTTTAACCATGGATTGCCCCAAGGGGCGCTTAACCACTGAGCTACATCCCCAGCCCTTTTTATATTTTATTTTGAGACAGAGTCTGGCTGTTACCTAGGGTCTCCCTAAATTGCTTAGGCTAACCTTGAACTTGAGACCCTAAATCATGTAACTCTTAGCACTCAGTCTTAGCTCAGCCTCAGGCAGCATGTAAAGTTTATCACTGTACATATCTAAATTAGATAGAATTTCTCTCGTTATGTGTTACTACATTTCAAAACCTGTGAATAGATAATATCTTGATTTCAGCATGTTTCAATACTGCCAAACTGGTATGGGAGAACCAGGAGAAATTCCTATTTTCACCACTAAGGGGCAACGGAGTGACTCACACACACCTGGCCTTCCTTATTAACAATTCTTCAAATGTTTAATGCTCCAGCCATTTATGACTTACAGTACTTAGCCTGGGTGCAAATGGAAAGAGACAGAGTCTTGGTTTGCAAAGAGCTTTAAACAGGGAGACGCTGGCATGTAAGTGTACATAAACAATAGCATTAGGTGCCCAGCATGCTGCTAGGTGTTGAAGAGAAGGCAGCAAATGATCTGATACAAACTGGAGAGACCCGGGGTGAGACGCATAAAAATGGGGCCTCATAAGTTACCAGCTCATTCACATAATTTTAGTTTCTATTATACCAAAGGTCATCCACATAATAGGTAAAAACAATGTTGATCTAGTAAGGTCTTTAGAGATAGGGTCTCACTGGCTGAATAACTAAGATTAGCAAAAACCAAACCAAAACAAAAACAACCCTGATTGAGATAAAAACTTTTTAAAGCTTTTTAAAAATTTTTTCTTAATAGTTGTAGATAAACAGCATGCCTTTATTTTATTTGTTTATTTTTATGTGATGCTGAGGATTGAACCCAGGGCCTCACATGCGCTAGGCAACCCCTCTGAAATAGAAATTTAAATCCACCAACAAGAATAAACGGCATCCCTACCCCCAAAAAAAGAATAAACAGCACCCCAAATGGATATGGTGGCTTGAGACATTGGATAATGATAGAATGAAGTCATAAGAATTAGCAAGACATTTAAAAACTAAGCATCCAAGGGTTGTGGTGGTGCAAGGGCTGGGGATGTGGCTCAATAGTTAAGCACTCCTGGGTTCAAACTCGGTACAAAAAACAAACAGTGGGCCAGTGGCACTCACCTGTAATCCCAGCAGCTCAAGAGGCTGAGGCAGGAGGATTGTGAGTTCAAAGCCAGCCTCAGCACCTTAGTGAGGCACTAAGCAACTCAGTGAGACCCTGTCTCTAAATAAAATACAAAATAGGGCTGGGGATGTGGCTCAGTGGTCGAGTGCCTCTGAGTTCAATCCCTGGTACTCAAAAAACAAAAAAACATAAACTAAAAATCCATATAGAAATGGGTTTCTAGGTTATTTGGTGTGCGTTTAATCTTTTTAAAATTTAATTATTTATTTTTTTAGTTGTAGATAGATGCAATACCTTTATTTTATTAATTTTTATTTTTTTTTAGTTCTTGATAGACCTTTATTTATTTATACGTGCTACTGAGAATTGGACCCAGTGCCTCACACATGCCAGGCAAGTGCACTACCGCTCAGCCCCAGCCCCAGCCCCAGCCCAAATTTTATTTATTTTTTATGTGGTTCTGAAAATCGAACCCAGTGCCTTGCACGTGCTAAGCAAGCGCCTTACCACTGAGCTACGACCACAGCCCATGTGTGTTTAATCTTATAAGAAACTGCCAATTCAAAATGTTTACAAATATTTCCCGCTGCCGCTGTACGGGTCCAGCGAACATTGGAGGAAGAGACCACCAAGAGACCGACTCATGCAACCACAAAAGGGGGTTTATTGAGAATCCAGCGCGCTGGGGCTCCGTGCTCACTCAACAAGGGAGAGCAGCCCAGATCCCCGAGCAGGGGTTGAGCAGTGCTTAAGTACACTTTTTGGGGAGGGCGGGGGCTTTGCATACATCAGAGCAAATCATCATGAGGCGCAGGAAAATCAAACAATTCTTAAACATGATTAGTACATTCATTGGCGGGAACAGGTCGGGCGGGAGTGATAGGTCAATCCTAAGAAGGGGAGTACATTCAAACTGATTGGTTTGGGCCCTGAGATGCCTACGTGCCAAGCTGCACAGGGTCCTAGGTTATTAAACAACTAAATGGTCAGGGGGAATATCTACTGGGCAGTCCTGGGAATTGTCCTAACAGCTACAGGAATTTCAGGTTTTGGGTGTAGCATAGGAACTTAACAATACCTGGTCCTTTACATTTTAACTCAGGCTTTGAAGCTTAGAAACTTTACAATACCCGTTTTTTTTTACACTTTAACTTCAATTTCTTTTACTCTTACACCGCTAATAAGGTGTCCTTTACTCTGCATCACCACCTTTGGCAGTGGCCATTTTTATTTCAGCTGTTCTAGTGAGTGTAGGGCGGCATCCACAGGTTTCACCCTTCATAGTGATTAATGGTGATGAGTTGTCTTTCATTTGCTTATCTACTCATTTGCATGTTTTCCTTTGGGATGTATCCATTTAATTCTTTGGGTCATTTTTATTGGATCACCTTAATTTTTTTTTTAGTTGTAGATGAACACAATACATTTATTTTACTTATTTTTATGTGGGGCTAAGGATCAAACCCAGTGCCTCACACATACTAGGCAAATGCTCTACCGCAGAGCCACAAACCCAGCCCCCCCATCACCTTTTGTTCTTGAGTTCTGAGGCATTCTTTCTCAATGAATTCCAAAAGTCTTAGTTCACTGAGTTTGAGCTTCAAATGCTTCCCCCACCCAACTGGGAATCGAACCTAGAGCCTTATGCACGCTAAGCAAGTGCTCTACCACGGAGCTACTTTCCCAACCCTTTTTAATTTTAAGACAGGGTCTTGTGTCAAGAGCCACAGCCAAGTCGGAATGGGGCCTGGCATTTTACCACAAGGAGTGGTTGAGAGGTGATGCCAGCGAGCCATTAAGATGATGATAATTAAGTTAAGCTGTGTATAATTGCTGTGACTGGATGATGCTGGATTGAAATGAGCTGTGTATTAAGTTGTATATGGATCCTGCTGTCTGGCAATAGGGCGGCTCCTGCTGAGTTCCCGTTGAGTTCTCAAGGAGCCCGGTTGAGGGCAGGGAGAGTTCCCGTGGAGTGCGGGTGAGAGTTCGGGCAATAAAGTAGTTCCTGTTTGAACCTACAAGTGCCTCGTGGCAGCTCGGTTATTTGTGTCCAGCCAGACTGTGGCAGTCTTGCTAAATTACTGTGGTGAACCT